GTGATGGCTTTTTCTACCATGATGCTATACACCGACTATCACGAGCCTAGGTCGAGCCATTTAGATTTGTGCCGCAATTCTGCATTTCCTCCCTATACCTTAAGTTAAGGAGGGAATGCTCCCCCTTCTTGTACCCCATTGACCTTTGACCTGTGACCTCCAATTTCGGCACAGTGATGGCTTTTTCTACCATGATGCTATACACCGACTATCACGAGCCTAGGTCGAGCCATTTAGATTTGTGCCGCAATTCTGCATTTCCTCCCTATACCTTAAGTTAAGGAGGGAATGTTCCCCCTTCTTTTACACCTCTTGTCCTTTGACCTTTGACCCCCAGCTTCGACATCCCAACTCGTTTTAGGATTACCCCCCACGCCCCCAATATCGTGACCGTACGTCGAGCGGTTAAGATTTGTGCCCAACTGTTGACGGACGGACGGACGGACGCACACACAATCATGCGATTCTACAAGCTGCATCTGACTATGTCAGATGAGCTAAAAATAACGAGTTGGCGTTACTCATGATCACCTGTTCTGTTGTTTTTCATAGCTCCACGTCCAAAGCTCAGCTGCCGTCTGTACCCATCGCTCCAGCCACACGCGATGTTAGCTATCCATTCGGGCGAGTCTGTCGTGTACATGCGATCATAACCTGAAAGTAAGAGGAGAATTTATTGTAATCGTCTCAGAGATCACTGAGCATGCAGGACTACCACCACACACTAATAGTGAACATCATTATCACTGTGATGGCACATTATCATGTGTCAACCACAGCGATGGCTCAATGGTTGAGTGCTCGCCTCGCATGCGGAAGATCGGGCCGGGTCATACCAAAGACTTGAAAAATGGTACACACGGCTTCTCTGCTTAGCATTCAGCAAATAGAGATAGTGTGGCAAGTGGCAAGTGATGGTGTCACGATAAAAATACCCGGCCCGGAGGATGGCGAACCCGGACTAGTATAGCCTTGTAAGGAACAAATGTTCCCGACTCAAGGATGGCATCATCATGCCAACCTTGGTCGACAAAAAAATAAAAAAAATAATTATCACTGTTGATACCCTGAAGGTATCACCCAAGCAAACTTGAAGCAAGATTCATTATAATATGGCTATACCAGTAATAATACATATGCAAACTGCAATCGCCTTCCTACGTGTCCTAGTCAAATCTTCTTGAGTACTAGATGGAAAATGTGCACTCGCCTACGTGACGGCCTGCTGGTAGCAATTTGTAGAAAGTCGGTCGTGCAATGATAGACATAGCCGGCTGAAATCCTAGCTTCTGAAAAATCGTTGACCCAGGTAGATCATTGCCTATGAAAAATGAAAAGTGTCAATGACACTGTAGCGCACCACAAAAAAGAACACAAATGAGTGAGTGAGAAGAAGTCAGTTTTAATTGAGCAACCATCGACATACATTATAGAAACGAAGAGTATATATGGGAGAACTCCCATTTATATACTCTTGATAATTATGTGTAATTTTTTATGTGAAAATAATAAATAATATTATATATAAATTATAAATAATTTATAAACAAAAATGAATCACAATTTGTGACGGTAGATGGCGCTATACTCGCTTTGATGTTTCTTAGCACAAATCATTATATAATAATAATAATAATATAATAATAATAGTATAAATCATAATATGTTCATAGCAGGAATTTTGCATTAAAGATATTGTCAATGAAATCTTGTAAAACGAACTAGACGAGTGTGACGCCACAGGCTGTTTGTTATCTGCGGATAATTGATGTCACATGCCAAATTTGGTACTCTTACTACAGTGAGTAATGAGTGCGTTGTAAAAACTTGATGGAGCCGGCTCCATCATGACGGGCATTAGCGGTGCTAGGAAAGATAATGGAAGATAAGGGCATAGGCGCAAGCAGCCGTTCATTCATAAATTTATCACGGAAAACCGAACTTTCACGAAGCAATGCTTAGACGCGTGTAGGTTGCTGATTATGTGGATACAAAGCCACGTAAGGCATGTGGGGGGGAGGTTTAGGAGCGCGATATCTCAGCCTAGGAGTATCGTATTGACAAGCGGTTGGTCTTGTTGTAGAGAGCAAGGAATTCTGGCTTAATGCAATACCATGAAAATTATTCTAGACTCGCAGGCAAAGTAGAATAATGTAGTCGTGAAATAGCACTATTTTCCCGTTTTCCCGTTGTACACTCTAGGTATTATTAGCTCTTGATAACATGTTAATATATTGAAGTCATTAAAGTTACACAGGTGTATCTTTAATACTGTACCACCGGTATAGCAAAGCCAATCATAGATTTTAGATCTGTATTAGTAGTATCCTTGATATATGCTCCGAGCGTGAACGCGGTGGCGGGAGGGCGCACTTGATTCGGTTGCCAGTGAGTTTATCAGAAGAATACCCGGCTACAGTACACGTCAGTTGAGCGCTGTCGCTCTGCGGCACTTGTTATTATAGGCTAGCTATTTTTGTTACAAATACGAGTTATTACAAAGATTATTTTTATTACCGAAAGCGGTTTTTACAGAGAATTGTAATGATATGCAACTTATGATAGAATGTTGTTTAAATACTAAGAAATCTGACCTGTGTAGCTAATTTATTGTTGTTATTAGCTCACCTTGACATCGTCAAGCTGAGCTATTGCCATGGGTCGTCGTACGTCCGTCCGTCCGACCGTCTGTCAACATTTGGCTACGGTCAACGATAACTCAGGAACCATTTGACCCACATGTTTGAAATTGGGTATAGTTATTGTTACTGCTATGCTCCCATATTAAACGTCCTATAGAGTACCGAAGTGATGACGTCACGGTGGCATGACAACGAACCTACTGGTTCTACACAATCATATGCTCTGGTACAATTACTCGTGTTTTGTACCGATTGTAACCATCATTCTGAGAGTCATTATTGCATTTTTATAGATTTCCAAAGGATGGAAGTGAAAAGGCAACGAAAAAAAAAATAAAATTAACAACAAAAAATTTTTAAACAAAATAATTTTTTTTTTAATTCATTAAATATTGTAAGATTGACTTGCTACCGATGCTTTACCGCTGTCTGCAGCGCACACACTCGTGTTTTACGTACGCACAACATTTTCACGAGTTAATGTTATGGAGCCAGTGGCTTGGTGTAGACCAGCCGTACGTTGTCTGCCAACGTGAGTCACACTTCGGTACTCTATTTTGGAGCACGCCAGTCGACGTACTTTGAGCCACTGCAATTTTTTGCCAAAATGGAATTGCCATTAGTCAGTTCAGGTTCACGGATTTTGCTCATTTTTGTATGTGAAGAATAAGGGCTAGGGGTTTTGATATTTTAAAAAAAATTATGCAATTTAGGTATGTTTGGGCTTATAATAGAC